GTTTGAAAATAGGTCTCCCCTATCTTCTCGTAGTTGGGACAAAGACTGTTTGTTTGAAGGACTTAAGATTTATAACGGCCCTCAGGCTAGCTGAACATGTACTGCGGAGACGCATCGACATCTGGCAATCATCTTGCTCGAAGAATAGGGTCTGCGTGTGGCGAGCTGCGGGACAGAGACTGTTGGAATGTTTACTGTCGCGTGCCGTCACAAATGTTTCTTTTAAGGAGAGCTATAGAATTACTCCATACCTTTGTTAGACAAAGCGTTCATCCCTTGACCGCGGCTACGTTAGGCGACAGACTGTCGCCTCGAGCCAAAGCTCACCATCGCTAATCTCGAACAATTACAATCGGATTGAATAACTACGATTGTTTAATTACAGCTATCGTAGACTCTAGATTATAATGTTACGGGATTATCCTAAATTCCAGAGGCTCCGGTGTTCTTTCATCTCCGACATATATATATGCATGTATGTAATTATAACTCATACCTTATACAGATGTTTTAAAAATATTCAGAAAGGAACAAAGTAAATTAAATTTGTTTATTTCAATAACAACATTCATTTTCAATTATTTCATGCGATAAGTATACCTTACTTTCTTATAATTTTATTACACATGAAAAGTAATATTAATCATTTTGTATTTAAAACATTAAGTGTAAGATATAAATATAATTAAACAGAAAGCTTTAACATCTGCTTTTATTTACAATATACCACTCAATTTGTGTTTTAATTTTCAACAGTAGATTATTGCATATATAGGATTTTTTTTTATTTATTTATTTAAATTTTACAATTTGTCCAGTAGGACAATTTGGTAAAATATTATAGACATTTGGTAAAATATTATAGCTTAGTGGTATAATAATATAACATGTGAGTGGCTACCCCCAGCGGGATACCAGCATATATAGGATGAATGATTTAAACGGGATGTACCTTATGTATTTATCGTTATATGGTAGAACTTGTCATGACAAAGTTGCACTATATAAAAGAGCAAACATAAGCGTATAAAAATCTTATTTTAAGTTATTTTTTTAAGAGATTTGCAGGTCATCACACTTTTAAAAAAAATTTTATTCTTGTGGAGCATAAAAAAGCAAATTTAACAGTTCTAAGAAATATACTGTTACAATTATTTTGCTTTCGAGGGTCTACCTCCCATTACTTTTTCTTGTGGGTTATCGATGCTGCTCAATTTTTGGTGTTCTCCTAATCTCATATTTTTGGGAATATTAAATGTTTCTTGTATAGACTATTGCTGGCTATGTATGTTCTTTTAGGTGATCTTTAATCTGACGCTAATAGGAAGTCTCTTTTTGTTTAATCTATTTGGGACTCCATTTTAATTGACCATAAAAGTGATGTTATTTCTACGCATGCTTTCTACTTTGTACCCCTTCTAATATTGAATGTTTTATTTTAATGTTCTACGTTTTAATATTAATAATGTTTTTAATAGAAAAATATTCATTTATACTCTACAAAAGTTAAAAATTTGGTGGCAAGGATACAGTTTCAAAAGATGCACGTATGCAAGATTGCAACAGAAATACGAAAAAAGCATGCAAAGAAGACAATAAGGAAACAATATACGTGAACATAGAAAACAGAATATTGATTTTAAAACATTGAACTTATAATTAACAATTTCCTATCAATAATGTTAAATCAGTTTTGACGTAGGATTTTCATTCAGGGAAAATAGTGTAGATGTTGCATGAAAGTTGAGTGAGAAGAAAACGATAGGAAAATTAATAGATACATATACATATAAATAAGTTTCGTTGTTTAGCGGAAATTAAAGGAGTAATATAAACACGAGGGAATATAAATTTCCATTATGTTAATTTCGAATTTAAACTTTTAATTATACTTTAAATTGTTTTACATATTTTATGAATTAAAATTTCGTGCACTCTACCAAGCGATTACAATATAGATAGTTATATACTTATTTAAAACATGATAACAGTGCTGTTATAAACTAAGATTCAAAAATTTAAATATTATAATGTTATTGTAATATTATATTGTAATATATTGTAAATTAATAAACTTATTCAAATAAAGCCACTATTTTCAATGTTTCATAATCCTAATCCTTGGTAAATAGTCTATGACGTATGGTTTACACGTCATCTAGACAAAAATGAAGTTGCTTCTGATTTTGTACTTATAGCAGATTGCAAGCTCATCATAGATCCTCTAAAAATTAAATTATACAAGTATATTTATGTGTAACACAGATTATATGAAAATTAATTTGTAAAAAGAAATACCTGTAATGAACCGAAGATAATGTTTCATAAAAATACATAAGCTGGGCCTTATGACCACTAATAGATGGAAGAAACTCTCCTGGATCATCTTGATTATGCCATTGCAATATATACACACCAGCATTTTGCATTATATGAGAACCCTATGTTCAAATAAATAATTATTATAAGTATAAAAAATAAAAAAATAATTAGTAAAATATGTTAAAACATGTAATCATTGTATGATAAACAAATGACTCCACATAAATGAATTACTCAGCAGACATTTCCTTAATCTCGATACATTGAAATAAGAGTTGTGCTATTCTTTTACAGTCTTCTTGCCAAAAGGTATCCACGCTTTCTCTACCTCGCGGCTCTCTTCTAGAGACAATATTTCTGTTCTTTAACATCCTAAGTCTAACAATAAGCGATAAGCTCGTGACCATTTCGTGCTGCTGAGTCTCGCTCGCGTATGGATATAATTTGGTAATTTGACTGCTTTTTCTCATATTTATATGACATATAATATTTTATAATATCATGAAAGTACATATTTCTTACGTAATCTTAAAAGATAATGGAAAGAAGTAGGACATCTCATAGGAGAAATTCTTTCCAATTAAAAAGAAACGAAACTAGCAGAGCGTATACGATTCCAAAAAGCATGATAATGGAAAATGAATTACATATTTAATTGTATTATAATTGTCGTTATGTTAAAATCACCTCTTACTACGATTAACAGAAAAAAGATATACAATTTTTTTTATCACTTTTCTTAATTTTGCTGGTCACTTCACGGGTTAAAGCAACATAACGTCGTGCTATATTCCTAAACTCTCTCACGCCCAACAATTAAACCTTCAGTATCCGATAGCTACGTGATTTTATGAGCCATCATTAGGCATCTGCCACAATCTTATCCGCATCTTCCACGGTTTTTATTTTTTTCCTATCATAATTACATACAAGTAAAATAGAGCACATTTCATCGTGTATGTAAAAGCTGCTCGGTAACAGATGGTATAAAATTCTTGATTTATAAGTATTATAAATGTTGTGTGTGAAGTGTACGTTATTATGTGCATAATGTATGTTGTGTTTGTAGTCTTCATCTTCTTTAATTATGTGGTTAAATCCAATGATTTAAAGTTAAAGATCAAATGTAATTTTTTTATACTTTATTTTCATTTTAGTTTGGCTTGTGAAAAAAACCATCTTTCTCTGAAAACCCTGTGTATAAATTGTATATTTGCGGAGAATTATACAGATGATCGCATATATAGGCCACGGAAAGATTCGGACACTGCACAATTTTAATTTCTAATTTGTATATTTACACTAAACGTATAAAGATCAACAAAATGTAATACATTATGTTACGCTATACTGTTATAGACAACAGTAGAAAAAAACTTTTGAGTTATTATTTATTGTTGTCTAAATATTAAAAGTAATACTAAAGAAGAGCGAAATTTGTGCCACAAAAAGTTTCGGACGAAAAGTATACATTGAAGAATTTTGTAGTTTAATTCTTCATTAAATGTTACCAGTATCTGTATATACAATGTTTGTAAACAATGTTTCGTTCAAGTCCGAGCACTTTGGATTGCGAATATGTATTAGTTTTGTAACTAACTTGTTTAGGGTGAATCGCAAAAGCCGATATACAAATTTTAAAATACGGCAATTAATAAGTTTAAACAAAATAGTGGTAACTATTTAAAAAAAAATATTTCCCCTGTGCCAAAAAATGTACACCATGTCATCAACTAAATGTTAACTTTCGCGAATAATCATTATTAGTTTTAGTTCTATGTGTATAATTCTATTATTTAGATTCATATGTATTAAAATCCGAAACTTTTTGTGATATAAAATATCATTCTTTTTCAGTGTTTCTTTTAGTATTTAGATAACAATAAATAATAACTCAAAAGCTTTTTTCTACTGTTATGCTACAATATGTAGTGTAGCGTAACATAATGAAATACACTTTTGTTGGTTCTTGTACATTTACTGAAAATATAATAATATAGAGCTTATAATTTAAAATTGTATAATATCCGAATCTTTTTATGATCGACTGTATGTATAATGAGAAGTAATTTGTATTGTTCTAAAGATCTATGAAAGTTGTTTGTTTCTATATAGAAATTGTTGCTCACTCATGCAAATTCTCAAAGAACAGAATGTTGGTAATGTTTTGTTTGAATATTAGCGGATCACAGGAATGTACTACTACATGACGGGAAAATTTCGACAATTGAGATTATTTAAATGTGTCTCTAATTTTCCTTTATTTTAAAAATCATAAAACAACGAGAAAATGAATGCAGAAGTATTTAAAGAGTGATATATACATTGGAAATTTTACTCCTAATATAAGAGATTAAAGTAAACTAAGATGGAAATAAATCTTTTTATTTATATTAAATAGTGTATATACGTATTTAATAATAATATTAAAGAGCTCCAAGTATCATGAAAGCTCGAGAAATATACAGGGTGAGACACGTAAAGTGTGGCAGCGGAATATTGTGGAACATATTGATGACACAAAAAAATGTTGTTAAGAGAATCTGAAGTATTCTAGGTGTCATAGTCCTTTTCTTTTTTTGTTAATATACATTTTTTAACACACGTAAGTATAGCCCGCATTAAGATAATTTAACGACTATAGTCATTTAAGGTCAATCAACTTGATTCCATCAAATCAGAAAATATAGAATATATGTGTGAATATATTTGTAAACGTACTCTATACATTATATTCTTAAAAACATCAATATACTCTTTGTTTACTTACTTGAATGCTTTCACCATCATGACAAACAATACTCGGTTCGACCTTAATGAAATGTCCTTTGATTTCTTTCATCTCTAATAATTCTGCATCTTCAGCTGTAACAGATTCTGAAAAATTTACATCGATTATTTATACAATTATTCCGAATACAATATATTTATGAAATACGTATTTCTTAATACTTTCGCAATAGAATGTAAAATTATTTTTGTCCCTGAATTGTATCAAAATCATATATTTTTTGTTGAACTGTGGAAAGCCTGCACCCCACCTCAATGCATTCTTTTTGGAATATTTTTGACCACATTATAGTGAAGTATGAATAACGGCAAAATATTATAAGAAAAATTTGTTTCTTTTCGTGCATTTCTTGGTATATACAATTCTACATTATACCATAATGTTGCCAACCTAGAATTTATTTGGTTCGAATTATATACAGGGTGGTTGGTTAATGGTGGTACAAGCGGAAAGGAGGTGATTCTACGCGAAAAAAGTCGAAGATATAGAATAAAAATTTAAAAAAAATTTTTTTTTTTTTTAATTTTTCCATCGAGACAACGATCTACAGTAAGATCCGGTATAACGAGACGCGATAAAGTGCACGCGTACCGAGCAAAAATTCAAAGTCGATTTTCTCGAAAACAAAGCCTCAAACGAAAAATTTTTATTCTATATTTTCGACTTCTCTTTTTGCGTAGAATCACCCCCTTTCTGCTTGTACCACCAGTTACCAACCACCCTGTATATCTATGTATATTTTCCTTTTTAAAATCAACATTTCAATTGTTACACATACCTAATAAACAATTTTCATTAAAGTTACTATTAATTTTTCTTAATTTTCTCCTTTCGTTCTACATTTTAAGATGTTTTTCACCTTTTTTTCGATGTCAAGGATACAGTTGCCCCTTCTTATTATTTTTCGATTATTTATACGTCACAATGACAATTTTTTAAACTCAAAATTAGAATCATTGGCAATGCAATAGACAAAAAACAATTTTGAACATCTATCAATTTTTATTCATTTTTGATTAATATCTTAATGTTCTGGTTACTCCGTGGCTAATCGACAGGTTAACGTCAATGTTAAGATTAAGTTCTTTTTCGTACTTTAATTTAAAGGGTCTGATGTGTTCTAATAACACTCTCTCTCTTCTCTTTTGCCTTTCCGTCTGATTTTGTGATGTTGACATAACAACTATGTATATGTATAGATATAATAAAAAGGATACAAATTTAGCTTTTATATAATAATAATTCATATGTGCTTTATGTATTGCATCATTCAATGAAGTTCAGTACCATGCAGCAATAGTACAGTTATAGTAATAGTAACTGAATTATGATATGTGTACTTCATGTATTTGAAAATGTGAAATTTTCATTGAAGGATAACCAAAAGGTGTTATATTTCTATCTATTTTACATTTTTCTATCTCATACTGCATAAAATCAATAGTGTTTATAACTTTGAGGTCATTGAAAATATAAATAACTGCTACGTATGTTTATGTGCAATGTTTGTTACAGGAAAGAGATTTCTCTTCATTAATTAAATAATTATAATTTTATAAAATACAAAGTTGCGCTCTTTTGTTATAATTTGGATAATGGATTACTTAAACTAATATAATAGAAAAGAGTAGATGTTGTGCAATAGAAATATCGGTTAGACCACTGTTTGAAAGTATTTAGATGCTAATACATTATACAATAAGTACTTTAATAATAGCTTGAGAAGCAGTTGCTGTAAAGGGTCAAAATCAAAGCTTTCTAATTTGTAATTAATCTGTAATTTTATTCATATACATATACGTATACATACCCAATGAAAGATCTTTGTCATCGTTATAAGCTTGGTAAAGTACGGTGAATATTATATTATGACGCATCACATCAAAATCCCATGTTAAAACTGCTCCTGGATCATTAGAACGGATTATTACACGATGAATTTGTCCACGGCTTAAACTAATGCAATGATATAGATTATGCTCTTCTTGAGACGATGTAGGTTCCAATTCCATTTTATATAGATGTTTCGGTACAATTCCTCCTTCAGTAATGTAGGCCTAACATTAATAAAAAGATATATGTTAAATGTACATCTTAAGAACAGCATAATAAAGTGAATAATGCATATTAACAGGACTGAATCACAGCTAATGCGGCACAAAAATGTGTACGTTAAATTTTCAGATTTGCAATAATGCACATGTATGTGGGCGCATTTGTGCGTGTGTGTCGAATATTATTAAATATATGGTTTTAACAAATAGTATACGTAATTAATGATTAGAGATGTATAATAGTCTAGAATAATAAAAAAAAAAGATATGAAAATAGTAAAAAAGATATTTAACATTTTGTATGTCGATTTAATTGCACTCAAATTAACTTAGGAAAATTAAATTTGCATATATTTAATAAAACAATAAAATGTTTTACAACAAAATCAAAGGATCTCATTCATTTTTGGCTAAGAAATGATGGAACTTGGAACTACCGAACCTTGCGGGAAAAAGTTGTACCGCAGTTTGTGTGGATCATTTTCTTCTGGTGAGATCTCTACTTTCTCACCTTTAAATTCAATTTGAAGACGTTCTTATACTCGAAAGTAGGACGGTAAAGCGGAGATCATTTTTTTCCGAAAATTGTATACATTCAAATAACTCTACAGAATTTAATAAACCCGTTTTGCGATTCGTTTTATAATAAATTTGAAGGTAGGAGCGTTCTTTGTAAAATGATCCCTTAAAAGTTATACGATTTTTTCCTACCTTCTTATTGCATTTTGAATAAAAACTCTGCTACTAAAATTAAAATAATCCAAAATTCAATAAGAGAAGATCAAACGTTCAGATTTCTATTTTGTGATCTATTAAACATAATACATATGTTTAAAGTTTAGACGATTTCTCATAGACCTTGTTTCTATACATAAATCGATGTGCGTTTCATTGCTATAAAGGAAAATATCAAACAAAAGGAGAGCGAAAAGAAGTTCCTGTAAATATTGTTCCTGTAAACATATGTAGTATCGTGGAGAGATTGTCTAAGAAAGGCCCGACGAAATATGTATAATGTTGCAAAAAAACCTAAATGCCGACAGGTCGAAAGAGTCAGGAAACTTCAACTGGGCCACGTGGCCCATCAATGTATCCTCGTTCCTTCAGGCAAATAGTTACTCGAAAGAAGGCGTACGACCATGAGCGCGGACGCTTACCGAACACGTACGTAGTGGGGGTTATGAAAAGACAACAAGGGGATGTTTGAGGGAGGAAGACGATTAATCGTCAGTTGTTAATTGAGAGTCTAGTTGCAAGGAGCTAGTTGCGAGTCGTGAGTTGAGTTGAGAGAGTTGCGAGTTGTTATGGGTTGTTAATTGTTAGTTGCGAGTTGTGAATTATTAATTTAGTTGTCATAGCTATATCACATTACTGTATTAAGTTTAACTCACTGCAAATAAATCCATTTATCAATAAATTTATCATATAGAATAGAAATCTGGAAATCCTAATTTCTAATAATTCTGATAATGATTCTATACATATGTAAAATAAATATAGTGATGATAAAATCGCACCATATAGCGGGACCAGCATATAAATTATCAATATCTATACATATATATAAAAGGAGTGAAAATTAAATTTTTAACTTATAGTGAAAAAGTATATGTAAACAATAAATTACTGGATTTAGAAAAATGTTTTAAATGTAAAAGTTTTAAAACAGTATTGCTTGAAATGTATGCAGTATGCACAATGATAATGTGGGTATCAAAACTTTTAAACAGTATATTTACTATGAAATATTAAGATGCGCGTGATAAAATATTAAAAAGTGATGAAGTCACTGTCCAAAAAGAATTTACGTAGTGAAAGTATTATTCGAAAAGAACTAGAAAGTTAACAGCATAATTAAATCTTATAAGTGATGAGTCACGAAATCTCAATTTCATCCATACACAATAACATAATAGGTAATGTATTACTAAAATTAAATATCATTAAAATGTACAGCATTAATCTTTTTCATAGCGAACCTGACAATTGGAATAGCTGGTACGTGTGTTCCAGGAAAATATAAAATAACGCTCGAGATGTTCATCAACAAGCTTTATAATACGACCATAAAGAAAAGCTATTTTTGAAAGAAAATATTAAGATATTAATTGCAATAATGGTTTGTTTTCTAACATTATCTTTAGAATTTTCAATTCTTTTTATACCTAATGGTCAGATGTAAATTGAAAACCTATCATCCGAAACGTAAATTAAAAATGACGCAATAGAACTTATAGCCAAGGTTTCGATCTTGGAAGAAATTACGCGATGTTATCGAGAAATTTTAGACACCTCGCGTTTATTCGGGTACAGCTCTCATTCCATTTAAAAAAAGGCGTATCAGAAGTTCATGTAGGGATGCTTAGGACACTAAAGATGCCATTGATCAGCAAATTAACATTTTCCGATAGGAATTAATCAACGTGCATTCTCGAAAAACCATAATAACCTGGGATATTTCGAATTCATACGATCAGATTCGATGAAACTAATCCAAACATTCAGCAGGCGAGATTCAATTTCATTTTTAAACAGTTCACTCCTACATTTATTTATAAACAAGGCTATGATTATAAATTAAAACGGGTGTATTTATTTATTTATTTTATTGAAGTAAAAATTGTTTAGTTTTCCTAGTTTTCGAAGCCGTTAACACTAACTGCCACGCCGAAATCACATGTTTCGCTCAAGACGCGACGGGAGTATTTTTATTATTCAAAGCATATAATGGCAAAATAATAATAAATTGATGATGTAAGACAACATTCTTTCCCAATGGACCGTTTATCTTATTGGTGGTCACGGTGACCACCGTGACGTCTTGATAACAGTTGATAGCGACATATTATAACAAGACTTCGTTTATTTCAACAAACCATTCGCATTCGTTATTTCGTCGTAAGCAAAACGTCCAGAGTATATTGTTGAAACGTGTAGAAGATATTAATAAACGGTATTTGCTCATTCTATATATAATAGTAAAGTATATTCACACTTCTAACTTCAATTATATGATTATAAAGCAGCATTTACGATTATTTTCTAAGGTGTGTTTATAATAATATTCGTAGATTACCCCTCAAAGATATGTATGCAAATACAGTGCACTGTTAGATGCAAGATTTGTTTTCATTTTCTTTTATTTTTTATTAATATTCTAATAAAAATGTTTAATCGTTCAATGGGGCACTTTTTATTTCAAAGTATCTTCTATTTATCGGTTATATTCAAAATACCCTAACTGTCAATTTTCATTCAATTTTTACAATCGTAAGAAGTTCAAGCGCTCCGGTCACCAATGACCACCGTGGCGTCACAGGAGAAACCGTGGCCGGTAATATATGATCAACGTGGCAGTCAAAGTGTTAAGAGTTGTTTAGTACTAAATCAATTTGAAGGGTCTCACACTCATAGCCCTTTTTTGGAATATGCCTTGTACAGATGGTGCAGCGAGGTATAGACAGGTCAGTTTCGGAATTATAGAAGTACCCATAGTCCCACGGGGCTCTGTTGTAATGCAATGCTGCCAGCGTGCGAATCTGGATTGTCTTACACTGTACTTATATTTTTATATTTGTACTTACACTTATACAGAAATATATTTCTGTTACACATTCATCCACGCGCTCCTCTAACAGATTTTATCAGTATAATTATCAGTTTACCAGTCAAGATAACAAGTCATCCCTTATCAGTTACCCCAAGTAAAATCATGACTGAATAACTACCAACAGACATTCATTATAAGCTTATGAGGCAGTCAAAAAATTGATGGAGATGGATATGATGTAACATAATGTTAGCTATACGTAAGTATATATATATAAGTATATGTACTTGTTAAAATGCTTCAAAAGAATAAGTAATCATATGAAAAGAATGTTCTATCAGTAACTAAATCAATTTGAAACTAAAAGAAATATATGTATAGAATATTCGAAAATGATTTTTTATGAACATTATAGCGTTATTCTACACATCTGAATCGGCGAAGATCTATAAAAAGTAGCCGCAAAATTGACCTTCACCTTGAAATTCAAGGTTAGACCTTTTTTTATTGCATCGTATTCTATTCGTCATGAAGATGAAAAGTCTCAAAGGAATCATGGGTCGCAACTCAATCGTTCTTTTGGAAAGAAATGCCCAGTAAAGCTCCATTAGTTTCGGAACTCACTTATTTTGTAATGTGCTTACATCTTCCAGTCATACAGAAAAAATAGCATCCGTTGTCACACATAGATACTTCAGATCCATCACTATATACTTCATATCTTCATTCTTTCATATCTTCGTTCTTTCTTGTTAAAAAGAAGAAGACGGCTGTCTACGTCAGAATGTGTAACCTTTTTTTTTTTTTTTTTATTTAATTTGTACCTTACAATTTGTCCAGCTGGGCATTTGGTAAATTTTTCTAACCGAGTGTAATCGTGGGTTTAGATTCCTAACCTAAATTTAAGTGTAGATTTTCGAAACTCGAGTGGCGGTTGTATATACATATAGGAAGAAATTACTTAGAATGTTGACCTTGATAACATTGCAAGGCCATCGAAATCGATAACATGTATCATATTCTGTGTATTTTTTACCCTTTTTTATTTTATTAAACTTTATTTCGATACAAAATGAGGTCAGTATTTCTCAGGTATCTCCTTCAAAATCTCATCTTGCATATGTAATATATTATACATACACTGTATTTCATAAAAAGATGTGCGTAACGCGACTGCAGTCACGAACAATTTTCTAGTCTCGAACAATTGGACAATAACTCCTATTTGATAATTAAATACCTAGATGTTTTATGTAACTTCACGAACAGCCCCTTAAGCAAGCCCCGATTATAAGTACACACATATATATTTTGATTAATTGCTGTTATAGTCTAATAAAATTTGGCTCTTCTATTTCTTATATCTTTGATCTCTCATAACACTAGACTAATAACTATTAGAAGGTGCTACATATAAGTACAAAACAATAATAAAACATAAAAGCACCAAATATCACTACGATTTTTAACAAATAAGACAAAGATATAAAAATCCTTACGTTATTAGCAGTTGCGTCGAAAATATAAAATCTTCGAGGTACCATACCATAAACCTCGCATACATTGTCCTAGTAGTTAAAATACATTATTGCTAAGTAACTTGAAACTAAGAAGTATTAAAGACGTTGGAAGTATTACTTCTTGCATGTGTTTTCATATATCTTACATAATGAAAACACGAAGATAATATAATATAAAAACATATATTTACGTGGTATATGCAATATTTTATGGTGTTAATTGTCGATTACAAAGAAGATATTTTTTATTCGCGGTAAAAATACATTTTACATAAATATAAGATAGTAAATTAAACATTAATAAATTATATATAATTATTCTTACCTCAGATGATCCTCCGAGGAAATCTGGGATAAATTCAGGATCGATATAGTCACTTAGGCTACCAGGACCTTGTTCTTGATAATTGGTGCCACAGTAAAATATGAATTTTTTTCTTGTATTTTCATCTGCACAAAAGATTTAAACAAATTAATACATTTTTATATGAAAATAAATATTCATATATGTCGAGTCACGATCCGAGTCCGTGCTCGAGTCGCTATCACGGTGAGGGCTTGGGATAGGTAATGATTCTTCACTGAAGCTATCCATCTTCATACAGCACGGAAGTGACTTTTATTGACACAAATAAAGAGGTTACAGAGTTGACGCAAACCCACGGTGGTCACACACTCGCGACACTAGTGACAATGGTCTCAGGTTCGATAACGAATCCACGGTCAACGGGATGATAGATATACTTGCTCACACAAGCTGACTCAAACGTGTAATATTCACAGATCGTAAGGCGCTACCCTCTTCGTCGATGAGATCACAAGAAAGAATGAATTTTCGTCCCAATGATGTCACCGAGGAAAACTATGATGGGGTGTATCTAAGGACACGAGATCATAGAATTCGTCGGGTATAGCCCTCGTTCCGAAAGTAAGGGAAATTGACGTCGCTGTCAATTGGTCAATTTGGGACAAAGACTGCCTGTCTGTTTGAAAAATCTTAATTACCAAAAAAAATCCAGGTTTCATAGCGGGTCCTCGGGCTAACTGAACTTGTGTTGTGTAAGTGCCTCAATATCTGGTATTCATTGTCCGAAGGAACCGTTGGAATGTTTTACTGTCAGGTACCTCTATGGGTATTTCCTTTAATGAGGGTCATAATATCACTCCACACCTTTGTTGGACGAAACGCCCATCCTGTTGACCGCGGCTACGTTGGGCGACAGACTGTCGCCTCGAGCCAAAGCTCACTAATCTCGAACAATTACAATCGGATTGAATAACTACGATTGTTTAATTACAGCTATAGTAGACTCTAGATTACAATGTTAGGGGATTATCCTGAAGTTCCAAAGGGGAGGCTCCGGTGTTCTTTCATCTCCGACATATATTTTCAACAATAGTGATGGAGAGAAATGGAATTTTGTTAACGATAACTTTGTGGAATGCTCTACATAACATTAACGCAGCGATTTGATACGAGATTAGAAATGCAAATGCTGATATTGTGGTATGAAGTGTTTTAGAATTAGTGATGTTTCCGGGCAATATATAACAGTACTGTTGATCATAATAAATGATCTTAAGAAACAATTAAGAAATACTTACTTATAAATGTACTTATCAATGTCCATAAAATAGGGAAGCATCTAGGTGCTCGCATAATTAAAACTCTCCCCATAGTTTCTGGGTAATTTATTTCAACGATTTCAATAATACGTAATAGAGCCTGTAACAAAAATGTATTGTAAATAGTTTACCCTTGTAGTAAGTAATACTAAAATAATATTCAATAAGGAAATGTTTATTTAACTGAAATTACAATATGTGTGTGATATTATGATTTATATATTAAAACATTTTTCTTTTGAAAGATTTCATGCCACATATCATAAAAAATTTAAGACGTGTTTTTGCAAGCTAAAATGAGACGAAACTGAAAATAAGTTATGTTTGGGACTCTATTTATTAATTATTGAAAATATCAACGAAGTTCGGCAAATTTGTCTACATGAATAAATGCTTAAGCGACAGAAAATACACAACTACGACCGAACGTAAAGATTAAATGTACATATATTAAATTCGTATATACGCTTTCTACAACGCCATTCCATAAGTAATGTTATTTCTTATCTTTAAATAAGCATTCATATGATTAAATGATGTGTTTATATAATTTCCTTTATATCTTTGAAAAATTCTGCATTGCTGAATGTAGAGTTTGAAATATTCAAATTAGTACCTTTTACTTATCCAGTTAACTGCGTTTGACGTGTGTATACGTCAATCCAAAACTTTATTTCGGTGCGGTTGACGATACTCGCCATATGAAATAAGAAGTTACCATTTACTATAGAGACTCAAAATGTTAGTAAAAAGTAATGTAAATGACGTTTAGTGGTATGTTTCCTTTATACTTCCGGAAAAGCTATTATGTATTTTATAAAAAAAAGTTAGATTATTTGATTATTCTCTTTGGCGCGTATATTGATGAATTGTTCTGCGTTTTATACCAGCTTATATAACTTATACCAGCTTATATAGCTTATAACACCATCAAAAGTAAATCCACTACGAAGATATGCCGTCTGCTCAAAAAATGGAATCCATAAGGAATTACATTACTGGTGTTCGACCTTTAAAGTGCCACTTTGTGTGGTACCTTGCAATGTTTATTTAAAAAATACCACACTGAAATCAACTAAATTTTTAAAAATTTTCTTATTTATGAACTGTATTACTTTCTGTCAATTTTGAAGATTTTAATAATAATATCTTTTTAAACAATGAATTGTAAATTTTTTATCGAATAAAAATGTAATCCTTGTTCGTTTTGCTTTACTTCTTTCGTAAAATTTATAATAGGTGCATTTGCCCTGCGTTTGACGTGTATACACCGTATAAATCTCGCAGTTAACAGGTTAACACGTTCGTCACCCAATGTGATTCGGCTAAGTTTCCTGCGGGGCCCAAATCCGTCCGCCGGTACGCAGAACGTAAATAGAGCGACAAGCGGGAATTCATTGTTTATCGCGTTCGATTCATTGTAAAGAAAAGATTACTTAGTTGTGAAATGGAGAAAGCGATAAGCTTTCCAGCTCGAGTATTCCGAGGGATCTCATGGCAGACATCTCAGATCTTTCATTTAGTGAGAAGCATACTTATGAGACATACATCAGTGTTTTTTTCATCCTCAAAATATTCAGTAAACAGCGTGAAAATATATTTGAAATTGAGGAGAGCAGTGATGACGAAGTCTACAACTATTGTTCGAAGTGCCCAAAATCACCCCAAATATGTTTGAAATGTTTTAACAAATACCATGCGATATAGTATAATGTAATATTTTATCCAGAATATAAATAAATACAAAGTATAGTATAATGTGTTTTTAATATTTTTATGTTGTATATTCTATATATAATATCCTATATTTAATTAACTCGAACAAGAAGAGTGTCACCCATACTTTGGTGACGGGGCCCCCACGGAAGTATACCCGTCACATAGATATGGGTGACGTGGCGACGAACGTGTTAAAAGAAGATTGAACACTAAATTTTAACAAAAATACACACAACAACGAAGCAAGAACATCTCATCTAAATAGAACCTCATCCACTTATGAAAAAATACCAAAATAGATAACCAATATAGTAATTATTATAGTAGCACTATATGTTAATATTTAAAGCAAATCGGAAGCTTAAATTGAAATTTAAAAGATGTGCATCTATCAACGACGATTTATATCCGACGAGTATACATTTATACTAAACATTATGTGATCTACATATAAAGTATTATAATTGATTAAATTGCATATTATTAGCGACGAAAAATAGATTGTATATAGAAAGTGTAAACTATGATGATTATTATATTGAAAGTCTGTACTGTGTCTAAGATCAGAACTTCACTGTCCAAACATTTCATGATGCATGTGATGAGGTATATATAATAGAATTGCTGCAATAAATACAATTTCCGTCTTTTTATGATACTACTATGATTGTAATTCCACCACTTATTTGTCGGCGTCTTACAAATTTCTCTATCGTCCGTAAATAATGATAATAATACTTCCATTTTTTTTAAATTAACCATTTTTTCATCGAGAAAAATAACATTCCTCCACCTTTTAAACCATTTTAAATGCTTTTTGGCAAATTTTAACCTCTGTTTCCTATGGACATTTATTAATTGGAGAAATAAATAGTATAAAGGATATTGACTTGATCAACTAACAAAATTTCAAATTCCAATAAGATAATGGTCGCACTACGCAGTCGGTGAAAAAGTATTTTTTTGAGAAAAAAATCGAAATTTTATGATGGCCAACAAGATCACGTGGCCAAAATATAATAAAGAATTGTTGGGGTGAGCTCCCTGCAAAAATAGTTTATGAAAAAAGAAAAATAAGACAAAAGAGAAAGAAAACTCTATTTAAATCGCAATAAAAAAAACGACAGCAGTTGTAAAAAATAAAGGAATACGAAATATTAACATAACATTTTCTTTAATAAATGTGAGTAAATATTTATTTTTCTGCAGCGTGGGCTATCATATTGTCCGAAAAAATTCTTGCAATATTTCTAATTTTGCAAGAAAAGATATTTATTTTCTCTTCAGAACTATATAGTGGTACATTAAAAACTAGTTCTTAAGTTAATGAAATATACTTTTGTATCTTTGTTATTCAATAAAGTTTTCCTAATTTATGCCATGAGCTATCTTTTTATCCAAAAGTGTATTAGAAGTATATGTACTTTACTTTAATACAGCTTCGTAGATATACATCACTATGATAATGTTAAACCGCAGATGGCAAACATAATTTTTTGAAAATCACAATTGTGTTCTGGGAATTCCACGATTTATAATCCATGTAAATTATACTTACTACTATAGTATAGTATATTAATTATATTACTAGTGGTCCTTAAAATCAGTATTAAATGATTTCTTCTTATATTTAAAGTATTAAAAAATGTTGGCTCATGAATTAAAAAATTACATAAAAAATAAATAAATATTATAAGAAACAATACATTGATGATCATTAGAAATAAATATAAGTACTAATATTTTGCACTTAAGTTATATATGGTGTAATTTTAATATTATTTATGGGATGATTAATATAAGAAATACATTTATTGATTTTGTATGTATTCAAATAAGATATATGTATATGTATGTGTATGAGTAGCATACATGTACTTATTAAACTGTTGTCTGAAAAAATATTAAAGTATATTAAATAGATTTTATACCTTTATACCAGGTCTCCATAAGTGACGCATATTTAGACCTTCAAGATCTATTAATAAACACCACTGCGAAACTGGATGGCCAGAAACAGCAGTTGCTTCTTCCATAAGAACCAGTCCTTCTTCGCAAATATGTAGTACCTACAATGGCAATATTAATTATGAATATGTGGAAACCTATAAAATATATAAATAATATAAACTGTTATTTTTACATGATGTGTACTGTATAATGCTGCGTATAGTGTTATTATACAAATGAAACTTACCAGCAACAGCAAGTCATCTTCCCCGATAGATTTCAATAATCCCTTTACATCCATTTGTCCCATTCTTAAAATATATAAAGGTTGACCATCTACAAATTAATAAAGATATCGTTATTTAAATTTACACTTATAAGACCTTTCTTGTAAAATGCATATGAAGAAATATATATTGAAAATTAACTTTATAAACACTAATGAAGACAGAAAGAATTCGTCTATTTACAATATTAATCTATTATAAAATAATTAAGACCATAGTATATGTACTTCATTTCTTCTATTTTTATTGAACATGCTTATGAATATGCAAAAGATAGTTTCGAGAAAAAAGTAAAGAAAATGAGAAAATGTTTGACTGAAAATTCTTCAAAACCTTGTGTTATGAAATTCAAAGCGTACTGTTCTTAAAGATTAGAAATAATTATTATAGATATGGCATTTCTGTTACACACGCATTTTCTTGTCGTTTTACGTATAGTTCACTATCATCGCTACCATCACTATATTCTCATTTCGCATTCTTATGTATCATTTTCATATTCTCATTGTACAAAATATCGTTCTTGGAACTTTTCCCTTACATTTGTAATAATTGTCAAATGCAAAATCTTCAATTTCCAATAAGTTGTTTTCGGTAAAACTATTCGGAAAAACTACCTCATATCCGGTTTTCAAATATGTTACAGAAATCAAATTTTTAAGTAACTAAACGAATACTCGCAAAAAAATGTCGATATCACTACAATGAATTCTGTCTAAATTTAATTGTGCATCTGTGGTAGCGTACACGTCAGTATTGTTTCCTGGCTGGCTTAATCTATAATATATGAGGTTAACTCCCATTTTTTAAATCTCGAACTTTTTGTTGTTGATACTAGTTATTCTACGTTTGTCCTACATCGTTCCAAAGAAATAATTATTTATCTCGAAAGGTTCTAGAAATAAGCCCCCCAAAAAATTAATTTTTGCCCCTTTTTAAACGTCGTAAAAATTATTCTGGATTGTCCTAATTGTTCCAAACACCGTTTCAAAGTAATATTTCAATATTATATTTAGTTTAGGAAATAACTTGAAAAATCTGTATCTATAAAACAATGGACATTTTTCTTCATTTTAATAGCAATATTATAAAGTAAAGGTTTCTTCTTTTGTTACACGAATCCAGGTTGTTCTAGTGGCGTAACTATAGCACACTGATTCGCCGAAACGAATGAAAGAAAAAGTTTGACTTGAACAGGACGGCCGTGATGCATAATATAAATAACGCAAGAGTCAAACAATCAACGAGCGGTAAAGATGTACTAGATAGTGGAAAGGATGATAAAACCACACTAGTAGATGACGAGGAGTCAATAATTATAAAAGTAGGTGAGCTGAGACGTCTAACCCAGATACTGATGGATGCAGTGGAAAGTATTGGTAGCCTAAAAAAAAGAAAAAAACGAATACATCTGATGTAAAAAAAGAACGATAGACGGGTATCACTACATCACTGATTGAATGGACAAACAAGCCAAGGAGAAGAAAGACAACGAGTCGTAGGACGGACAAGAGAGTAATCTCCGAAAGCAGAACTACAATGACAGACATCGTCACGCTATACAGATGAAATTTCGAAGGTGGTATCCCACTGGGGGTAGCCATCCACATGCTATATTGCTATATCACTAAGCTATAATATTTTACCAAATGTCCTACTGGACAAATTGTAAAATGTAAATAAATAAATAATAAGAAAAGAAAGATGAAATGAATAACAGCAAAGAAGCTCAAATGAGTAGATGGCAAAAAATAATCGAAGCGGCAAAAAGAAAGCAAATTTCACCAGCCCAGGAGAAGAAAGAAGAAAATAAAAAAAGAGCAAAAAGGGGTGAAGCCACATGTGCCGATATATGTAGAGCAAACGACGGAAATGAGGATACGCAAGAAGATGGTAACGGAGATTGGGAAATACAGGAAAGAAGGAGGAGAAAAAGGAAAGAAACAGAAAATATTGGAATAATACGGGTAAATAGTATTAGAAAAGTAAAAGGGAGAATAGAAGGAGAGATAACTAGCAGAAGAAATAGACCGAAAGCAATTATTGTAAAAGTAGAGGAAACTGTTCAGTGAATCGAAACATACAAAATTTTAATGACAGGCAGGGAGGCACCGAGGGAGTCTAAGTGTACTTAAAAAAGCCAAGCAGGAGAATATTTTAACTGAATTAAAATACAGAATATCAGCGGCAAAGGTGATAAAGGAAGGATGACTGAAGAAAGACTTCAGCTGATACTACTACAGGACAGAATCCTTAGAGATGAAAAATATAGATCCGCTGTTAACTAAGGAGGAATTAATAAAGGAACTCAGTAATAAGTTTAATTACGAAAATTAAGGAAGAAAGCTGGGTCGATATAAAAATGATCAGAACAACGCAATGGGGAACGTAGCAAGCGATTGCAGTAATACCATCCTCATGTACGCTGGATGACGATAAAACAATAAAAATTAGAACAGGATTAACAATCGCTACAACAAGGATAATACCCAAAATTAAAAAATGTTACAGATATCATATGATTGGACATACGACTAACCAATGTAGGGCTGTAAGTCAGGGAATGTGGTAGCAGTGACCATAATATTTCGAATTGCAAAAATGAACCAGGTTGTGCTATGTGCAATGAGACAGGGATAGTCAATATAAAACACGTGACAGGTTCACTGGCATTTCCTACATACAGACATACGATCAAACAGGTTAGTGATATAAGGAAAAATCAAAATTACGTTACGGGTTCATTAGCGAGTCAAGATTAAAATCTTCCAAATAAACCTAAATCGCTGCCAACTGGCACAAGATTTGATGTACCAGTACGCCTAAAGTGGATGTGGTGTTCATCTCGGAATCATACCAACAAGAGGCATACTGATACAACGATGACAAAGGGGATGCTTCCCTATAGATCACATTATTCGAAGGAAAATATCCGGATGATAGCACCCTGGATATAAAAAAGGGACTCGTGGGAATTAGAGTGGGGATTAGCAGTTCAATGTTTACCTTAATGAACTGAACTCCACGATTAAAAGATCTAAGAGAAGCCATCGTACGATGATGATCGCAGGGGACTTTAATGCCAAGTCTACCGCATGGGGTAGCATTAAAACGGATCGTAGGAGAACATATTATTGGATATGCTAAGTAAAAACGGGATTGTACCCATTGGAATAAATAAAAGGTACACATTTTACAAGAATGAAAGATCTAGCTCTCTGGATATAATCAGTACCAATGAAGGACTGGCAAAGAAACACAAGGGAAATAAAATACTTAACACATTGTCAATCTCGGACTATACTTATGCTTTACATGATCTTGAAACTATTAAGACGAGACGTAATGTCGATAATTTTAAATACTTAACGAAGGAAATGGATACAGATAAATTTATTTTAAAATTTGACTTCAATTATCAGAACTTATTTATTCATAATTCAAACGACAAAGAGGCACATGCAGAATGTTTCCGGGTTACTGTAGAAACGACATGTGCCTCCGAGTTAAAAAAAGTTTATCCTCCTATAAGAAAAAATGTAGAAACTATTGGTGGTGTGAAGACCCAAAGATACTTAGGCGGGAGGTGTTTAAACTTTAAAGTTCAGAGAGCTGAAAATAAGAATTGATTGAGGAATTTAAAATTTAAAGAAAAGAGCTTAGTAAGAAGATTCGCGAAAATAAAAAAAAAAAGGATGGGAGGAATTTTGCGTCACGTTGGATGGGGACCCATGGCGGAGGCCTTATCGGACTATTATATCCAAGATAGCCCAAAAAGTTCCAACAGACGGCTTCCACGTAAACAAGGTCTAAAAAAAAAAAAAAAAAAATATAATATAGTTGTTCTAGTGGCGTAGGTAATTGTTCAAAACAGGCAAGCCTGGAACAATTTCCGTTCCCGAAAAAATTGACAAATATCGTCAAAGAATGGCGTCGATAATAAAGTTATCCTTTATATTTATGTTTCGGTTTCCAAATTTGTATTCTGGTTAGTTCTAGAGGTGTAAATACGTGTTCCAAAGAAGGATCCTTTACTGTATAAAATTACTGTTAAAATGAAGAGAAATGTCCATTGTTTTATGGGTACAGCTTTCCCAAATTATTTCCTAAATTATTACATGTTCGATTTTCAAAAAAAGGGGACTGATCAAAAATTCACTTTTTTGGGGTTATCACCTTTTGAGATAAATCATTTCCTTGGAACGACGTAGAACAAGAGTAGAACAACTTAGAAATAAATTATAAATTATCCAATAAATTTCACGAATCAATAGTCTCATTTCTAAAATCAGCGCCCTTACCAACATCGTTTCGTATCAGATTTTATCCGAATGTTACCGAACAAAATTTGAACTCACTCCCTGTCGTTACAAGTTCGGTGATAGAATAAATATCGTATACCAGAATAAACATCGGATTCGACATTCTGCGAAATTTGTTGGAACTCTGAAATGAATAATATCGCACTATTTGTGGTTTACAATTTAAATTGTGACATCGAACCGAAGATAAAATTACAAACGGAGGCAAGATTCACATTCTACAACTTTTGAAACCCGCACATAGATCCAGCAGCAGTTATCAGCCCAGAACAGAGATAAAAGCTACACAGTGAGTTCCGACGTTCGAACGTTTAATCAGAACAGCGATCGCAGTATATTCTTTTTTTTCTTTTTTGTTTTTTTAATTAGGATTAATTAAAATCTTTTTAATTAAGATTAACTAAAATCTTTTAATTAATAACCCGCTGGAGGCGTCCCGTGATCGGCCTTGCGGCAAAACCACATTGCCTCGGACTTCTCAAGGGACACCCTCAGTCCCAATCCCTTGATCTCGGTGACCACGCAGGCCACCGTTGGCTCCGCCAAGCGGACGGTTCTACCCCATACCGTGCCCCAGACCAGCACCAACGTGTCATCGGCGTAGCACGCCAGTGCCGATTTCGGAGGCATCAGCGTCCGAAGCACTGCGTCGTACGCGATGTTCCACAGCAACGGACCCAACACCGAACCTTGCGGGACCCCGCGGTGTACAGCCCTCCCGGTCATA